AAATTATTAATGAAGAAAAATATAACCAAACAACACTGACAGATAAATTTTTTAAAATTTAATTAAAAAACAATGTAACAAAAACACTTAATTCACCCAATAAAATAAAGGTTTTAAATTCCAAACCAATCATTATCAACTTCTTTACCTTTATTTGTATTATCAACACTGTTTTTAGAAGATGAATCACTTTTTTTTTAATTTAAAAAGGTAAGGAACTTTGTATTTTAATAGGATGATTAGAGGATTTGAAACAAGGACTTCTGAGCCTAGTCCTTTATTCAGGTCAGTTGAACTAACTTCTTCTGAACCACAAACAACTCAAGTCACTCCACAAAAATCAGATAATTCCATTAATTATTTTGGTTTTAATTATTCAAATCCTCAAAGAATATCACTTGTGAGAAGTCAATCAGCTATTCTTACAGATGAAATAATAAGACCAATTATACCAGTAAGAAATTCACATCCATGTAGTACTGGAAAAGTTTCAATAAAATCTTTCTCAAGAATTGGATTCAAAACCCTTTCTCCTTATGAATTGAATCAAATGATTAATTCATCCAAATTAGATGAATTATTTATTATTGATGTAAGATATCCATATGAATATAATGGAGGTCATGTAAGATCTTCTATGAATATATCTACTGAAACTGCATTATATAAAGAATTAAATAAATTATTTGAAATTAACTATTCAAAAAAAATTATTTTGATTGCTTATTGTGAATTCTCTAAAACTAGAGCTCCAAACCTTCTCAAAGAATTAAGACATACTATTAGAAATAAATTAATTGATATTTTTCTTGTTGAAGGTGGGTATGAAAGAATATTTGAAGAATTTCCATCTTTGTGTGAAGGTGGGTATGTTCAAATGAATGACCCCCAATATTTTGACGAGTTTATTTATTATTCAAAAATACACTCTCAGTCTACTACTCGTCATTCTGCTGTTCGAAAACATTTCCTTCAAGGAAAAACCCTTTCTTTTTGATTGATGTCTTTGACTTTTTTTCAATTCAAAAACTGTTATTTGTTTGTTATGTTTTATATTACACAATAAAAAATTTTGTTATAGAAAATCAAATGATTGTCAAAAATTCCAAAAGAAAAATTAAATTGAAAGAACTGAAAAAAAATAAAAGTTTTTAAGCCACAATGACTGAACAGATAGAACAAATCTTGTTGGTTATTAATCAATGCATGATGTATAGAATTAAACCAATGACATCACCAAATATGAAATATAAGTTTGTTTTTATGAATAAAAATTATTTAATATTTAAAAGAGAGATTGAATTTTCTCATTCTTATTTTTGAAATGAAAAGACAAAATGAGAACTTATATTTAAGGGCAGGTGAATGGACACCAGAAGACTTTTTATGGCAAGGAAAATGTGTCGTTGTTGCAAGAGGAGACCAATGTGTTGTTAAATTTGTAGATAGTAATACTGATGCTACATTTGCTCAATGCCCTGTTGGACCCGGAGCTGTTGAACCAGTCATTGATTCATCAAGATATTTTGTTGTAAGAATTGTTGATGAAGCCCAAGGAAGAAAGGCATTTTTGGGTATGGGTTTCCAAGAACGTTCTGAGGCATTTGATTTCACTGTTGCTCTCCAAGATTTTGAAAGAAGATTAACTGAACGAAAAGAACGAGCCAACAAGAAGGAAGAACCAATTGACATGTCTGCTTTTGAACTTAAACCAGGACAAACTATTACTTTGAATATTAAAAGTACTGCACCAACTGGAAAGAAACCTTCAAAAGGTACTTTATTACCACCACCATCATCTGGTAAACGAGCACAATTTTCAGCACCTCCTTCAGTACAAAAACCAGCTCAACCAGTAGCCAACGTTCAAACCCAACAGCAACCAAAGAAAGACAATATTGACAGTTTGCTTTTCTTTTAATTTCAAGTAATTTTTATTAAGGAGCTTTTATATTCATGTTTTTTGTATGACTTATAATTTATATATTATATAATACGATAAAACATATTCTTAGTTCTTTGATTCTTTTTTAGTCAGTTGCAGTTTAATCATCATTGCTAAGAAAATTACAAATTTTATAAATTTATATTTTTATTTTCCTGCTCAAATAAAGAATTTGCTGGATTAATAAAACACTTTATATTAAATGTTGGTTATTTTATTTTAACTAATACATAAATCTTCATTTAATTTTAACACCAACTAATTACCTATAATGTTTTTATATTAATTAACTATATCTCAGGTGAGTTGATAGGTTTTAAAAATAAAGAGGTTATTATCTTTTTTTTTCAGCTATCCATTCAGAGAAAATAATTAGAATTTCTCTCCTATAATAAATGGTTTAAATACTTTTAATAACATTGATTAAAATTTTAATTCAGTAAAACAAGGGAGCTAATTCATTTTACATATCAATAGTTTTAAGTAAAATGATAAGTTGTTAGTATATTTTTTCTTATATTTTCTCATCAATAATAACTTTCAACTAAGAAATTATTATCATAAAACAGGTTTAAAAAGAAGGTATTTTGTTTTTGAAAAGAAAATTGTTGAATAGCTTATTAAGTTAATGAATAGACAACACACTAGTAAAGCAAGTCATCATCTATTTTTCTTTATTTAGAAAGTTTTTGTAATTCACTTATTCTTAAGCAAAAGGAATAAATAAAAGATGGACTTTTTTATTTATATGTTGATAAATTGATAGTTTAAAGTAGTATTACGTCGAAAATGATAGCTAGTTGTTTTTAAGAAAACAAAACATCATGAAAGTAAAGTTTTATGAAGTTGTTAAGACATGGGTTGATCTAAAAATAAGTCTAAGAAAAACAATGAAATAATAATCAACAACTCATATTGTATTTAAAATGTTTATCAAAACTAAAGCATATTTCAAGTTGGAGTTGATTTACATAATTCTTTTTTTCCACTGAAAGTACTAATATGACTGATATGAGAATAGTTGGTATTAAGGTTCATAGCAAAGACATGAATTAATAACTTTTTAAGTACCTTCCGGTTTTGTTGTATAACTCATCATTAGAAATACGAATAAAGATATTCAAAAGAAAATACTTTTGTTTAACTATTTTAAGTCATTTAAAATTTCTTTTATTCAGATTAAAATAGAACTATATAATAAATTTGTTGATTCTCATTGTCCATTTTAAAATATTCAATTGGTTACAGAAAACAGTAATAGAAATATTTTACACACACTTTTAAAATAAAGAATAGAACAAATAAAGACAAATAAAGAGTGTATTATTGTATTATCGAATTAAAGTATCATTTATTGATTTTCCTATTGTTTAAATAGATATTTCAATATCACACAAGAAATCTAACAAATAATTTCATAGACTAATAAAAGTGTTTATCAATGTTATTTTATATTTACATTGTTTTAATGATTTACATATTTTGTACTAACTTTTTTAGATTCATATTTATTTCGTGTTATTTACAGTTTTAATTGTATTTATAATTTCTTTTTTTTACTTCGTATTATTGTATTATTTTTATTAATTCACCAAAATAAATATTTTTTAATTGACAGTTCATTTCTTGTTTAACTTGTTTTATGTAGTTTTTCTTCAACCCGTTATTAATTATTTGTCAATATGAAGGTAAAAATGTGCTTTATCATTGTTTTAAATTCAAGATATTCATTTACTTCATATAATAAATATTTTTTATTACCAAACTCTATCACTCCAATTCATTGGTTTGACTTATTATTATGTGAAAAATATTTATTAACCACAGTTATCTATTTAGAATAAACTTGTTAGTTAATTGAGTTAATTTCAGAATTAAAATATTTAAGTTATACGTTTCCTTTTATTTTAATTAGTCAAATATTACAATATTATTGTTGTTTCATTGAAATTGTTTCATCCATTTGAGAAGAAAGAGACTGTTCAATGAAATATTAGTTGGTTCAATAATACAAAAATTAATAACTATCGCACTAAATATCTGTTAATAATTGGGTATAACTGATGTTTTTATGATAAAAAAGAATTGCAGGATTTATTGCAAATATTAAATTTTAATAAAAATTATTTCAAATTTGACATTCAATATTAAAATAAGTATAAAATATTAAAAGAATGAGAATTTCATTTTTAATCTAAAACATACATATGTTTATGAAATAGTTATGATAAATTTCTGTAAAAATAATTATTATAATTATTATTTATTCAATACCTTTTTTAATAAAAAGAAATGGTGTTGTTAGTTTGTTAATTATCTATACCTATTATTTTTTCATTCATAAATACAATTTAAATTGATTATTATCCAATCTCATTGTTATAAATAAAAATAATGATTCCAATAATTAATTTCATTTATTGTTTATCAAATATCAATTATTAATTTTGTCTATATTTAATAATATAGCAACGTACAACGATTAATAAATTTATGAAAATTTATTTGTTGGAACATCAATCATATTTATTCTTTATTTAACAAGAGTTGTTTGTTTTAAGTTCTTTTAATCAATTATAATTAATTTTCTAATAAGATAATAGGTTCTGTTCATTTTGTTCATTTGTTTTGAAAAAAAATAATTTTATCATATTTTTACATAATGATAATTCAATATTGTTAGTATAGTCATACAGTTCCTATTTCATTTGTTAGTTTTTTCATTTAGATTGTTATTGTTATCAGTTGTTTTGTTTGTCATTCATTTAAACATATCTTTGATATTATTGATAATATCACCTGATGAACTGAATGTAAGTTAAAAATTAATTAACACATTTCATTATTATTTGATTTATTTAATAATATCTTTAATTTATTTTTTACTGCATTCAAATTTTATTATGGTAATTATATTTGTTTATAAATTTATTGAACAACCTTAATACCAAATATCTTGTCAGTTTATGTTAATAATTATTTTTCAATTTATTTATTTTTATATTTTGTTTTTTATTTTTTGAAAAACTAAAAAAGAAAACATAAAAAACATATCATGTCAACTGAACAAGACTCTACAGACGTAGCATTTGATGAGATTGTATCTCCTCTTTCTGATGATATTCAAAAATATGTCAAGAAAGTGTACCAGGCATACTCTGAACTTGTTCAATTGAATCAAAAACCAGTTGTATTATTGATTGGTCAAACTGGTGTTGGAAAATCATCAATTATTAACACATTATTCAAAGAGGTAGTCGCATTAGAAGGAGAAACAACAGAAACAACAGAAGGATTTAATAGATATGCATCAGAAAAGATAAGTATTTATGATTCGAAAGGGTTTTCAGGAATAGAGACAAAGAAATTTATGGGGAGTTTAAAGAACTTTTTAACATTACAAAATGAACGTAAACGAATTCATCTTGTATGGTTTGTAATCAACTCAGCTGTAGGAAGACTTCAGCCATTTGAAGAAGAAATTTGTAAAACATTATTAAATGATGTCCCAGTATGTTTTGTGTTAAACAAAGCCGATTTGTCAAGTCAAATGAATCGGACACAATTAAAGAAAAGTATTCTTGAAATGGGATTAAAGTCGTGCTTAGGGGTGTTTGAAACTGTTGCTGGGACAGTTAGAGGACAACCAGTAAAGATAGATAAATGTCCAAAATGTGGTGGAGATGAATTAGTATGTAAGATAAAGACTAAGACAATGATGTGTTGTAAATGTATGGAAGAATTTAGTGTTGACTCACAAGAGTCCCAGTTAATAGAAACAACTTTAAATCATATTCCACCAATGACAAAAAAATTCTTTATTTCAAGCCAAAAAGTTAATTTCAAAATTAAAGATGATGCAGCAAAGATGGAAGTTATTGGTATTGAAAATGAAATAAAGGATGCTACAGTAGAAGAGGCACTTGAAAAGATAATAAAACGAATGATTAATATTTCTATTGTATTTGAATGTAAGAAGAGTGGTGATGAAAATGCTACCAAGAAGTTTTTTACATTATTATTTAATGGAAAAAGTAATTTAACTAAGAAAATTATGAAACTTATTAAAGGAGATGATGAAGATGAAAAAGCTAAAGCCTTTGCTATAGCAGTTGAGTGGTATCGTGCATTACGGTCTATTTGTTGGTCAAGTATTCAATCACCAAGACCATCACTAACACCTGAACAAGCAATTGAAGTTGTCAAAGAGGCATTAGAAGTACTTGAAGATGGAGAGTTAGAGGATATGAGAATTAAGTTAGAAAGTTTTGGTTTAGAAGAAGTTCTTAAAGAGTGTCAAGAATGGGACATTGATGACAACCTAAAATCACTTCAACAACAAGATGACATTCAAAACAAAGATATAAAATAGAAGACATCTCATTAATTATTCGTTATTGTATTTGATGGTTATAACAAATAAAAAAGAACAAAAAAGGTTAAGAATAATAAAGCAAAAGAAAGAATAACAAAAAAAAGAAATATAATCATAATAATTAAAATATAATAAAATATTATTAAAAATATAACTAATAAACACAGTTACTTTAAATGGAATTAATTATTGAGTATTGATTATTCTAGAAAATAAATAGTTGTTGATTCTGTTATATAAGTTAGTTTAAAATATATTGTTCTGAGAGTAATATTTTCTACTAAATTTTCATAGTTTATTAGATGAAACATTGTGATATGTAGTGTTAATATTTTATGATTTTATCTTTTAATCATTTTGTTATGGTAATTAAGTTAATTAAGTCTAATTGTCATTTCTTATTTTATATTCATTTCTTTATATGTATTTAATTTGGTGTTTTTCTGTTTTCTTTTATTTTCATATCTATCTATTATCTCCTTTTATTTTCTTCAATATTTTAATTATTAAATTTCTATTGTCTTATCTTATTTCTTTCATTTCTTTTATTGGGTTGTTTTCTATTTTTTAGTATAATCTTGACAGTTCTTTGTTATATTTAATTTTTGTTGATTTAATTCAAAATACTATTTCATTTGTTAACCAAAGAATTATTTTGATATATACATTATCATTAATAGTGAGTGAAATAATGAAATATGTTTTTTAATACAGTTATATTGTTCAGTAAATAACAAACATCTCTTCGTAAATACAAATGAGTTTTAAAGTCAATTAGTATTAATTGAAATAAATTGATTATTTGTTTGTTTGATTTTATTTGCTATGAAATGATGGAATAACAGAAATCATATTACAACAAACAAAATGAATATTTAACATTTCAAATATTTGAATAACAAACACAATGTATATTTAATAAATTAATAATCATATATCATTATTGAATGAAATGGTATTGATATTAATCATTGTTATATGAATGTTGTTATTTCTAATTTTCAAATGAATGATTCTATTGATAAATGAAATAAAATCTATTTGTTAAATCATTTTCATTTTTATTGATTATTGATTATTATTCATTACATTGAATAAT